CACAAGCTCCAATAATACGCCATTCACAAAAAAGAAAAGAAGATACTCTCCATATACACGGTGGTTCAGTTTTTAATCCGGAAACTTTACTAGGATATAGTACTTGCTAAAATAACACAAAAATTTACATTTTATCTTTTATTTCGAGTATAAGTAAACCGTAGAATTTGAAATTTTGTATGTATGTACTACTGGCTAATACCTTATTTTGAACCATATTTTAAGCTTCCCTAGCGCCCTCTAAGGGGATGAAATTCACACCCCTTTGATTTTTTTATAACAACTTTTTAACGCCATATAATATTATTAATATAATAATAATAATATAAATAATTAATATGAATATTAACATCAAATAATATTTAATATTTAAGCTTATTCATTATTGGTATGTTTTTGTCTCTATAGTTTTCTCCGTAAAAATAATAGTTTTAGCGTAAAAAAATAAAACATGCTACATTGTATTGTAAAGCGCTGCTATTATTAAAAAAGAAATTTTCTTTATAGCTGGCAATGGAAGTTGTACACTTACTTAGATTTAGTATTAACTAAATAACACCAATTATTATTATTTTCATAAGAAAACCCATAAATAAGATGAATGTCTGTGTGAACAAATTACGTAGTTTTAAACAATATTCAAAAATTGATATTCTTGCTTAATAACAGTCAAAAATTATTAATAATCATCAACAATTATGAGGATTCACCGTAAATGAAACTTACAAGTTCTCAGATCCAACTTTTAGAATAATTTTAGCTAAACATGGCGGCACATAGCGGTGCATGGCACGATATTTTATTTTTTTACACGCAAACTGTTAACTTTAAGGAAAATACTAAAGAGAGAAAAAAGTACCACTAAAGAATGAGCTTTACAACCCATATTTTTTTATGTCAATATTCCATAGCGTTAAAAAGTTTTTATAAAAAAAATCAAGGGGGTGGTGAATTTCATCCCCTTAGAGGGTGCTAAGGTAGTTTAAAGTATGCTTGAAAATAAGGTCTTAACCAGTAGTAAATACGTACAAAGTTTCAAATTCTGCGGTTTACTTACAGCCGAAATACAAAACAAAATGTAAATTTTTGGCTTAATTTTGACAGCTCATACCTCGAAAACAAACGATTTGCGACCCTACGTTTATATAAAAAACTTGTATTATTTTGGCAAGTACTACCTTCTAGATAGCAAAGTTTCCTGATTAAAACTGAACCATCCTGTATATACAGAGTGATTTATTAGCTTACCATCAAACTTTGACATATGATAGCTAATCCAATTACCAAAAAAAAAATGTTAATGAATATATGTCCTATTTCAATTATTTACGAAATTATAACACTTTAAAGTTTTCTGCAGCGTATTTATTAATAGTCAGTAAAATCAAACATTGACCAAAAACAAAGTTGTCATTGTAATATGTTAGTTTGCTGTAAAGTTTAATTATTACTAGGGCACGGAACTTTTGTAACAAAACGATATGATTTCCCCCCTCCACTTGTTGTCGCCAATCGGTGACGTCTCTAAAAAACAAGCCCAGAAAACTAGCCACTGAGAACAAGTGGAGGAGGGAAATCGTATTTGGAAATCGTTTGTTACAAAAGTGGAATATTTAACAACAATTTACTGGGTTTGCATGTACTTGATAGACGTTTGAACGCTGTAAATTACAGATTTTGTTTAAACAATACACGTTTTGATTTACTTGAAGATATACCTCTTAATGTAATTGAAAATATGTTGTACCAGCACGATGGTGCCTCACCTCATTGCGAAAGTAGTTGTCGAGTGGTTAAACCAATATTTTTCAAACAAGTGTATTGGCCATAATGGTCCATTTGCTTGGTCACCTAGATCCCCCGACCTTAATTCATTGGATTTCTACTTATGGGGTCATATGAAACAAATTGTATATCAAGTGGAAATTAACACATGAGAACAGTTATTAAACAGAATACAAATGGCTGCTACTGAAATAAGAAATCAACCAGACATTTTAATTCGGCTGAAGAACTCTTTAATTCGTCATTGTGAAGCATGTATTCCAGCAGGAGGAGGCTATTTTGAACAATATTTGTAATATTTATGTGTTTTAAAACAAATGTAGCAGTTAATTATGATATAAAAATTAAAACTTTAAAGTGTTAGTTCATTAACATTTTTTTTTGGTAATTGGATTAGCTATCATATGTCAAAGTTTGATGGTGAGCTAATGAATCACCCTATATACACTACCCAATTACATACTCGAAATAATTCACAACAAGAAACGAATATACAGAGAATATAAACGAACAAACAACAGAATACTAAAAAAAATCAAAAATTAATCCAAAAATACCAACTGGATCGTTGGTTAGAAACATGCAAAGAAATAGAAATGGATCACGGCAGAACATATTGGCAGAAAATCAAAAAAGTATCATTATTCTCACAAATAACATACAAGTAACGAACCTACATCACCTTCAAGCCTTCGACACAGTCTGGCACCAGGGCCTTCTATACAAGATGGATAAATTAGGAATACCTACACCCTACCTGAAAATTATAGACGAATAGTTTCGCGACAGGATAATGAGCATCAAAATTAATAATGCTACATTCTTCATTTTCTCCCCTCTCCAAGGAGTACCTCAAGCCTCCTCAATCTCACCTACCCTGTACAACGGTTACTGCTATGATATATACCCTCCAACCCATCCAGACACCAACTATATTGATCCGGATAGCTACATACTTCAATATGCAGATGACACAACACTAATATCACAAGAGAAAAACCTTCAAATAGCAATAGAATCACTCCAGATGCTATACAACAACATATCATCATGGTTCCACAAATGGAGAGTCACCCCCAATCCGGACAAATTCCAACTATTGATCCCACACTCCAGAATCACCGATCAATCCCAGCACATCACGACAGGCACATCAATTACAAAACCTACAAAGTTGGTCAAATATTTGGGCATAACCCTGGACAACAAGTTGAAATTCAAACCACACTACAAAAAAAAACAGAGGTAACAAGACAAGCAAAACATTTTAGATCATTGACCTCCAAAGAAAGCGACACAAATTTATAAAAGTATATACCGATCACTCGTCGATTATGGACATCTCACAACTATATGTTCTCCGGAGTCAACAAAGGAAGTAATGCAGAAAGAAAATGTTTACGAATTCTGACAAAAATTAGACACCCGAACAATTCACTCCACAACATAAACAATGATTAATATGTTTAAGGATGAAGCAATTTTATTTATTTTCAGTGCTACATATGTTTCAGAAATTTCTTTCCTTCTTCAGGCACGACTGAAAATATCATGACATCATTAAATAGATTTAACAAATTAACTAACTCAGATCTCAGAGAAACTCATTCATATGATTAAAATTCGCAACGTTCGTTAACAATTTAAGCGTATTCGTTTAGGAGTTTTTCTTGAACATTTTGAAAAATTTTTTTTTTAAATGTGAAAAAGTGTGATTCAAGAACGGAAATAAAACCAATCTCAGTGAGGCATAAAATACTGAAAGAAAAATTCTCCAAAAATACCGAGCAAGACACCCTACATCAGATGTGCAAGACTCGAACGAACGAAGAAAGACCTAAAACATTATACGAAGAACTCAACATAAATTCGCAAAGATAAATATACTGTTATTTTATAATTAATGTAAGCGGAAAGACCCTATAAGGGTCAATAGCGGAATAAAGTTATTTCCTCTCCCTCTATGGACTTCTTACATGTTTTGTTAAAAAATTCATTGAATGATAATTAAATCATGAGAGCTGAGATATTATCATTTCTCGGGCTGTATGTAGACTTTATTGTATCACTGTACATATTTTTATGGAAAAAAAAAATTTTAATAAATTTAAAACGTCATTACAACTGTCAAATTGACATTTTTATTTTCTTAAACGTCAAATTTTTTTTTTATATAAATTAACTTTTTATCAAATAATTTATTCACAAATTATATGTTATTAATTTTAACTATTATTAATAATTATTTTGTAATTAAGTTTTATTTAAAATCTTTTTAATTTTAAATTTGATGTGTTAAAAGTGACGTTTAAAATAACATATTAATTATTAATAATAAATTATTAATCAATTATAAAAGGCAAATTGAATCGTATTATTAATTATTATTCCAATTGAAAACTAATTACTCTTCGTCGCAACAAGCTAATAAATCCCGATAATTTCATTATCGGTTTTGTAATTGAACGAATTGAAACCAATTTGTGGTAAAATATTTAAACATTTATTTCTCCACGTTCTAATTTATTCAAATATCAATAAATAAAAATTTCTTTTAATTCATACTTACTTTAGTAGTTGTAAAGTAGCTCAACACAAAATTTTTTTCTCTTGATGCACTTTCTTTCAACTTGGAAAGTAAACAGTTTCTGGTTTGTAGACGATCTATCTCTGAAGAGGTTCCGTTTTGAACTGAACACCTGAAGCGGCTGAAACCCGTGTTTCTATACTACAACTCGTAGTAGAGCGCGGTTTCACCCCGTCCAAAAGGAACTTTAGGACCAATCACATTCAAGCTTTATCACGACTTGTTGCTTCCCTTAATCCAAGCTTTTTACACTCTCAAATATGTTCTGGGAAACCTCAAATGATTCATTAAAAAAGTTTAAGCATTAAATTAATTCGTTGAAACACACCAGAATTAAAGTCTTACCCCATATTTACTTTGAAATTTACCCGGATTATTTTACGTAGGCGTTTCCGGATAAAGTAAATAAAAGAATTAAAAAATCGGAAGCGACATATGTATGATGATAAATCACCTAATCACCATGAGTCTGTGTAAATAATCGAAAAATGCCAACTGCTGCGTCAATTAGTTATCTTGTACTTGCCAATTAGTATTACCCCATGAAAAAATATCAAGTGTTTTTCGCATTTCATTAAATAAATAAGCACCCATCGCCAATAAACATTATTTTATTATTATCATTAAATAATTACATCAAAAATACACAAAAAAAAAACTTATTTAATAAATTTATTCATCCTTAATAATCGATTTAGACTTCAAAGCCTCCTCAATAAGCGCCATACTATACTCAAGTTGTGCAAACAACATCTTGTACGAATAAGTCATCTCTTGTAAATCTTTTAAAACCGTTTTAACTTCATCTTTGGTACTCTCCGATTCAACATAACCATTTGTGGCCGAGACAGTTAATGAACTAAGTCTTCCAGTTAACTCTTGATTAACACAATAATCCACATCAATAATCGGTTTTAAAACGGCGAATTGTTTCAAGTAATCCACCGTTTTCTTTAAATCCGGGTACAAATCCAAAATGTATTGCCTCATTTCAGTAAGATCCTCGAAACTACAAAACGACGGATTTAAATATTCGTGAATTAATTGGAGTTTTTGGAGCATATTAGAGACGGCGTCGCGGCAACTTAATGCCATAGTGATCATTTCGTGTGCTTCGGCTAGGTAATCTACAATATTTTGCGATTTTAAGTCAACCGGTTTATCTTGAGGAAGGATTTGAAGTTCTAAAACTTTTAAGCGCTTTTCTAAAGCGTCGATTGTCGCTTCCATTCTGTTTTAATAAAGACTTTAACTTTAAAATGATTTAATAGAAAAATTAAGGTGGGTTAAAGTGAGGTTATGTTGATCTGTCAAATTTTGACAACACAATCAGCTGGCTTTTAATTTATAAATAATAACGTTTAATTTAATTTTTTTAATAAACAGCGTTTTTTTATGATAAATTAATTAGTTAAATAAAATTATTTAAGTTTGATTTAAAAATAAAAAAGGAGTAAATAATTTTTTCAGAAAAGCGACATCTATTTTCTTTATTAGGACTTAAATTAATATTTGAGGTTATGTTAGTAAACTTTTAAACAATTAAAACATTTTTTTAGTGCGTTATTTATTATTTACGGTATGTATTTACATCACATTTAATATTATATTAATCCTCATCGCTCGATTGAGAAGCGTAATTTAATTGTTCATTCCACCAATCTTTAATTTCTAATGTGGCATTGGAGACTTTCGGAAGACAAGTTTTATTGTTAAATACTTCTCTGGGCATCCTATTAGCTTCGCTGGTTTCGTTAAGATGTGGAAGGTTTTTGCTGATAGCTACAAAATCATTTGTGTAGATAAAAATTCAAAAATATTAATGATTTTATTACGAGCTGGTTTATTATTTTTCTTTTTCGTAGATAATCTTTCCTTATCAGTTCTTGCAGCTGGATCGGATAATGTTGGAGCTAAATATTTTCGCCCCGAACTGCTCCCTATACTATCAGATCTTGGAAGTGAAATGACTTTTGGTTTTCTCGGTAATGTTTCATCTTTAACTTCAACTTCAACGGTTTCGTTAATGGGTGTTCCATTTTTGGTTTTTTCTTCTTCTTTTTCATCTTTTTCTTGTTTTTGAGTTGTAAGGGTTTCATTGGTAGCTCTTAAGCCGGCTATTAAACTATTTTGTTGCTTCTAAAACAAATTAAATCAGAATTAAATTGATTTAATTAATTTAACTGTAGTAGCTTAGAATATTGTATAAAGAAAATAGAAGTATTTGTAGAATTATATTCGAAATCCATTCCATTCCATTTCCAGGAAAAATAATATAAAATGTTTATTGTACTTTTAAACTGGTCTTTAATTAGATAATAAACTTGAGTCTTACTAGTTTTGGCTACAAGCCATCTTCAGAAACTAGTTTTTGGACACATAGATAATATATAATAGACTAAAATATCAAATATCAAATTTTACATTTTTTCAAAGTTACAAATTAAAATAAAATATAAAATTTATAGCAAAGTTCATACAATCACAGTTAACATTATAAAAACTTAGAACGATCTAAGCTTTTAAAATGTTTAAATGTTTAACACGTTGACTGGCCCCATTAGAAATTTTTTTCGACCCCTTACGCCCATGTGTTTTCTTTGTAGATTTTTACAAAATAATCCCTTATTTTACATAATGTATTATGTTATATGATGTAATATTTAGTATTTTTTTTGGTATGCACATCTGATGCACCTAAGCTTGTAATCGCTGCAACACATACACAACTCAAGAGTTCGTTCCAGTTTATACATGCTAACTGCTGTATAAAAGTAATTTTGTTGTTTTCTTATTACTTATAGATTGTGAAAAAGTAAGTTAGTGTGTGCAATTTTGATTTTTTACTTTGGTAAGGTTGTTATATTTTATAGAATCATTATACAGGGCTGTTTCAGGTTTTTGTAGCAGGACTCTAACAGTCGATATATCTTTTAAAATTAACACAAAAACTTCATATAAACATAAGTCGACAAACGCTTTGTTTTGGAGATACAGGGTGTTCAAATTAAATTTTTAAATTGACTTTTATTTAATATTACTCGTGTATTTCAACCGATTCTTTTCAAATTTGGTATACGGAGGTTTTCTGGCATGAGAAAGACGACTATGGGGTCCGTTTTACTATAGCCGACGCTCTGTAACGAATTCTTTACGTTTTAAAATAACAATAACTTCTCTAACAGTATACTTTTTGGCTTTTTGAATAAACATCTAATTCATCTTATTCTGTGTACTTTTTAAACAAATAAGGTACTCTTATCAAAATGCGCTAAAGTTGTTCGTTTTCAAGATATCCGCTTTTTATTATTCGATATAGACCAATTTTATTAGAGGATACTTAACGATAGGTATAATAATGTGTGCCATGGAAACAAAGTAAGTAAATGAATATCAGTTTTTATTCAAAAAGCCAAAAAGTATACTGTCAGAAAAGTTATCGTTATTTTAAAACGTAAAGAATACGTTACAGAGCGCCCTCTACCAGCTGTAGTAAAACGGACTCCATAGTCGTCTTTCTCATGCCAAAAAATCTCCGTATGCCAAATTTGAAAAGAATCGGTTGAAATGCACGTGTAATATTAAATAAAAATCAATTGAAAAATTTAATTTAAACACCTTGTATCTCCAAAACAAAGCGTTTGTCGACCTATGTTTATATGAAGTTTTTGTGTTAATTTTAAAAGATCTATCGACTATTAAAGTCCTGCTACAAAAACCTGAAACACCCTGTATNTTTACTATAGCCGACGCTCTGTAACGAATTCTTTACGTTTTAAAATAACAATAACTTCTCTAACAGTATACTTTTTGGCTTTTTGAATCAAAATTCTTATTCTGTGTACTTTTTTAAACAAATAAGGTACTCTTATCAAAATGCGCTAAAGTTGTTCGTTTTCAAGATAATCCGCTTTTTATTATTCGATATAGACCAATTTTATTAGAGGATACTTAACGATAGGTATAATAATGTGTGCCATGGAAACAAAGTAAGTAAGTTCACTAATGTTTCAGTTTATTAATGTTTTCTAATCTGAACAATGCAAGAAAAAAATTAAAGAAATTGTTGAAAATGTGAACCATTTTCCTACATAATTCTGACCGACGAATGACTGACCGAGTAATATTATTTAAGAACGGCCTTATGTCATTACAAGCATTCCTAATCCTATTAATAAGTTCATCCCTTGTGGGGACACGTGTTTCATACACTTTTCCTTTCAAATATCCCCATACAAAAAAATCTAAAGGATTAAGATCTGCAGATCGTGGATGCCATGCAACTGGTCTACCACGACCAATCCATCTTCCAGGAAAATGGTTGTCTAGCCAACTTCTCACCACCCTACCATGATGAGCTGGACAACCATCAAGTTGAAACCAGGCCTTTCTTCTTAAATCTAAATCAATGCTATCCCACATATTGGCATGTTCGGCTTCCAAAAATTGCAAGAACGCCGCAGCGTTTAGTCGTGGTGGCAAAAAGTAAGGCCCGAAAATGTGATTATTATAAACACCTACCCAGACTTTGACACTAAATTCATGTTGGAAGTTTCGTGGCCGAATTGCGTGGGGATTTTCATGCGCCCAAACATGTAAATTATGAAAGTTTACAATCCCACGTCTTGTGAAACAGGATTCATCAGTCCACATTATATTATTTAAAAAATCTCTATTGTTGGTTGTTGCATTAGCAATCCACCGACAAAACGTATCACGCCGTTCTTCATCGCCTGGTTGCAATCCTTGCACGGGTTGTAAATGATAAGCATGTCGATGATCATGTTTTACAACACGATAAACACGCGCATTAGAAATCCGCAAGGCATTCGAAACTCTTCTAACACTCGTAGTGGGGTCTCTGTTCTTCTAAAACTTCTTTGCAGTCTAACATTGTCATTAATACGATCTACCCGATCATTATTTAGCCCTTGTTCAACTATTTGTCTATGCACTTTCACAAACACAGACGGATGCGGATGTCTTCTATTTGGATATCTTCTCCTATACTCTCGGGCTGCTTCTGCTGAGTTTCCGTTTGCAAACCCATAAACAAAATGAATATCCGCTAACTCTTGGTTAGAAAAAATAAACGGCATTTTATAAAGTTTTTATGCAAAAAACAAAAAGATAAATAAAAAATAATTTAGCACGTTAAGGAAAAAGAGTGATGAATTTAACACACTAATGAGCAAGAAAATTGAATTTAACACGTTAACGAATAAGAAAAATTAATTTAACACTCCGATGAACAACTACTGGTCATTTGACACTTGATACAAAATTAACTAAAACATTAATGAACTTACATTATTATACCTATCGTTAAGTATCCTCTAATAAAATTGGTCTATATCGAATAATAAAAAGCGGATTATCTTGAAACGAACAACTTTAGCGCATTTTGATAAGAGTACCTTTTTTGTTTAAAAAAGTACATACACAGAATATCAATTTTTATTCAAAAAGCCAAAAAGTATACTGTCAGAAAAGTTATCGTTTTAAAACGTAAAGAATACGTTACAGAGCGTATGCCAAAAAATCTCCGTATGCCAAATTTGAAAAGAATCGGTTGAAATACACGTGTAATATTAAATAAAAATCAATTTAAAAATTTAATTTAAACACCTTGTATCTCCAAAACAAAACGTTTGTCGACCTATGTTTATATGAAGTTTTTGTGTTAATTTTAAAAGATCTATCGACTATTAAAGTCCTGCTACAAAAACCTGAAACACCCTGTATATTTATTGTATATGATAAATTTTTAGTGCTATAAAATGGCGTCACGAAGATTTCTTACTGAAAAGGACTTACAAAAGTATGCAAATGATATTATGACGGAAGAAAGTGAAGAAGAAATTTTACAAGATGGCGCAATAGATACAGAGAGTTCTGATGAAATTTTCGATGAAGGCAGTGACGATAGCGTAAGAGATCATAACTACGTTTTTGGTTCCAAAGGGGTATCTGATCATCATACTGTACCCGATTCAAATAGTGAAGAGGAAAATCCTCAAAACAATCAACAGGATGCTGAAGTTCAAGTAGATATTACAGAGTGGTCTCCGCACGTCAAAATTCTGAAGAGGTTGCCCTTTTTAGGATCAGTTCAAAATCATGCGCAGTCAACTGCTAAACATCATAAACAACAGATTCCTAGAAAGGAAAACGGAATAATATGCAGGAAGAGGTGTCATAAATGTTATGAAATAAACAAGGAAGGATATAGCACTGAAATAGCCAGAAAAAAGACAAAACAAGTGTCTACTGAATGTTGCATATGCAAAAAACCATACTATAATAATAATAATAATACTTTATTCCCCCCATTTTACCAAAAAAGCGTAGAGTACGTCAATTTAACAATAATTGCATTGTAATATAATACACATTGAGTTCAAACATTAAATTGGAAAAACATGTCAATGGTATACATCGGATTTTCCGTGACCATAGCTCTCAGTCTTCTCCGGAATCCTGGAACTGGTAGGATCTTTGTACCTTCCGAAATGTGATTGAAGATCTTGATACTCTGGTACAGAGCCGTCTTCTGAATCTTAGTAAGGTGCGTTTTTGGTGGCACCAGATAGCACTTCACCTTCCCGCGCGTGTTTCGAGGATGTGATATTTCATATTTTTTGAAAAATTCAAAGTAATTCTTCCTAACTAATACAGCACATTCCAGAATATAAATTCCATACAAGGTAGGTATTTTATAGTCTTTACAGTAATTATATTATATTATATTACTTGTCTCTGATCTGGAAATAATCCGAATGGCATAGGAGAAATGACTGATCTTGTCAGCAAGGAAATCAATATGATTGGTCCAACACAGTCCAGGATCCATTTTCCAACCCAGAAACGAAATCTCTTCAACATTGACAATCTCAGTATCCCGATACCTCGCCTTGATCTGGTCAGAGCATAAATGATAATTAACAATTTTCGTTTTTTTTTTGTACTTAACTTTATGTTATGCGCTTCAAACCAATCCGCAAGTTTATTCAGATCCACAGTAAGTGATTTCTGGATTTCATAATCAGTGCTACACCTCGCCACAGTTGTTGTGTCATCCGCAAACATTATCGTAATGTTCTTCTTTACACGTGGTAAGTCATTCACATACTATCAAAGGCTTTTGTAAGATCCATGAACAATGCTGTTGTGGCCTGTTTTTCATTTAATCCCAAGATGATATTTTCCAACAGTTGAAACATCGCATGTTCGGTGGATCTTCCCTTCCGAAAACCATTTCGATTCTCGTGCAATATATTGTATTTATTTAAATAATTTATAATTCTGTTGTGTACAAGCTTCTCATAAATTTTAGCAAGATTCGATATAAATGCTATTGGACGATAGTTATCATAGCAGGACTTGTCTCCTTTTTTGTAGATTGGGATTATTACTGTCTTTTTTAACTCACCCGGAAAACCGCCATCAGTGAAGGATGTGTTTATTAAATGCGTTAGCGGTTTAACTAAGTACCTTGCAGAATGCTTTAGAACGCTCGTAGGTATTTCATCTTCACCCGTTGCCGTTGTGTTATTTAAATTATTTATTATTTGTAGGACTTCAGTTTCGTCCGTTAAATTCAATGAGAAAGTGTGGCCCACTGACGGTTGATAATGAATATTTAGGTGGTGACCAACATTGTTATCAATATTTTGACAAATCTGTATAAAATAGTCATTTATTTCCGTCAGAATGCTTATTTGTAACTTCAAAATCTGCTGGCTTCATACCACTTGTGGTACCTTTACCTTGAAGGCGAGTTGCCAAGACGTTCTTGTTTTATTATTAGAATTAATAATGTAATCTGTATTCAACTGTTTTTTAGTAGTTTTAATTTCACTCTTTAATAATTTGCAAAAATTGTCGTACGTTTCTTTATCAATTTTTTTATTCTTGAGGCTTTCGTACATTTGTCCTTTTATTGCTGATAGTGTTTTAATTTCTTGAGTAATCCACTTATTTTGCTTTTCACTAACATTTATCTTTTTTACTTTCACAATCTGATGAATTATGGAATTAAGTTTCCCAACAAATAAATTATGACATTTCGCCGAATCAACTGATCGGTAGACCAGTTCCATTCCAATCTGTCACTTCCAGATGTTGACTTATTAAATCTAGTTTATGTTTCGTAAATATTCTTTTTTTAATATATTGCGAATCATTTATTGCAATATGTTTCTATGATTACTCTTTGAGTGTTATGATACGATAAGTTTGAATGAATAGTGTCACTTCCACATGGAAGTACATTAGTAAAAATATTATCTATCAGTGTACTGGTCATTTTAGGAACTCTGGTAGGATCATTTACAGTGGCCTCAAGATTGTGTGCTTTGAATATATCTAACATCTGTTTAGACTCTTTGCTGGTTTTCTTCAAATCAATGTTAAAATCTCCACTGACTAAGATTTTGTAGTTTATTTGCACCTCATCCAAAATAGACTCCAGTGACTGAAAGAATAGAGCCAACTCCGTTCTAGATTTGTTCGGAGGAGAATAAATGTTAATCACTATCATTTTCATTTCGCTCAATTTTACACCACTACACTCTATAATTGACTCGATACTTTTCTGTTTTAGTTTGGAGAAACTCAACATACTCTATTCCCCTCCGCAATAAAATACAGGAACCACCATGGGATTTCTTAGTTCTAGTAAATAAGGATGCAACATGGAAACCATCTATAAATACAGGTTCATTTGGTTTTAACCAATGTTCGGAGAGTGAAATTGCATTGACCTCACCTTCAAGACAGTCAACAAGGATCAAAAGATCATCAATTTTATTTCTTAGACTTTGAATATTGTTATGTATAAGTGTAAATTTTTGAACATTACTTTGTTTGCTTACTGAAAACGTTTTGTTTCGTTTATTATTCCAAACTGTGTTCTCTTGCTCTATTTGTGGACGATTATTAAAACTAACATTAATTAAGTAGTTTGTTTTTGATTCATCCGAACTCGGAATAAAAGACTGCCTCGATATTATTTATTTCTCTTCCCGTGTCGAATCTATTGGTAAGTACACGTGAGAAACGTGTTTTGCTCGGCGCGGCGCGCGGCGGTCCGGTCGAGGGTTGGGCCGATTACCTGAATCTGATTTACGATTTGCCATTGGACGTCGAAAAACAGTTCCCGTGCGGTTATTATAAACATTTCAAAAAAAATGTAGAAAGATCGCTTCAGAATAATGTATCCTACAACCGTATAATGCTCTGATGAGGAAGATACCGGACAACTGTATACCACAGGTCTGCGTTTGAAAGAAATTCCTAACTTAATTGGTATAGGAGCTATGGATGCCTGACTCACTGTTGCAGGACCCTGTATAGGACAAACGGGACGCCAATTAGAGATGCGCTTAAAAGAACATAAGAAAAAAGGAAGCTCTAACATCTATGTACAAGCACATTAACGAAACAAACCATACTATGGATTTCGAAAGAGTAAAATTAATCCACAAATGTGAAGAAAGTTTTCGTATGGACCTTCTGGAGATGACGGAAATATATTGGTACAACAATCAAAAAAACACCAAACTACTCAATGACCAACTCGCATTGATAAATATATGCATATATTTACATACTTACAGTTAACATAAAAATTAAATTTATAGAATTGTGTTCATATTTCGTTAGTTATTGTTATGTTATATTTCGATCCATACAAAAGTGCCATCTCGTAACATTTCGTAACATCTGTAAAAACAGGTCTTGTTTTTCGTGTTTTCATGTATCGTCTAACACACGTTTTAATTGTACGTTTATAAGTTCGTGTATCTGTGTTGTTTTATAATTTAGTTATTTTATTTACATATAAGGTAAATATATATATATATAAAATATATATTTACATTATTATATTATAACACTAAACTCATAAAACCTTTATGGCATTTCACGTTCTAAGAAGAAAAACAAAATTTTCAACTTGACTGTAAGTATTTTATATAAAAAACAAAAAATTGTTCAACGAAAAAACCAAATTTGGAATTCTTTTTAATCATAGATTCGACTGATGATGGCTTTATAAGCCGAAACTAGTATCGAGCAAATAAAACAAACGAGTGAGAAGTTGATCTATATTCATTTTCCTATTAATTCAAATAATCTAGCAACAGGAATTCCTACATTCAAAATAGGTATGTAGCAGTTGGTAACACTTGAAAATAGAAATTTGAATTGACAATTAGAAATTGTCAAAACACAAAATGTGTTCACCTGAAAATGATGTTTCATGTACACCTCCTAAAATAAGAGAAATTGAGTCATCATTGTGGACCTTGTATTCGATGCTAAGAACGTGTTTAAACATCCATAGACAAAAATTGTCACATTGACAACTAGAAAAATTCATGACCCAATGTCACCAACTTGAACTAGTTCCATAAAATGTTACTAAAATCTCATTACAGCATCGGATGCTGTAAGGAGTCTCATTACAACACCCGTTTGATTACTGTAATAGCTTTCATTACCGTCGCGAATTACAAAATAATTACAAGTTAGAGTATTTCATTGTCGCCGAGGTGTCGTGAAACAAAAGGGAATTAAGTATAACTTACATTTGTTGATCTAATTTTTTTTAAACATCCCTCCAACCAAGTTCTTATCGTTTGTTTAGCAACTTCCTCTTCGATTATGTACTCAAATTCTTCCCGTGCTAAAAGTTCTTCTAATTGAAGTGCTTTTCTTATATCAACTGACCTATACGATAACATACTAAAAAAGAAATTATTTGTTTATCGTTTTCATATTTTTTAAAGTATTTACTTTATGACATCGTGAAAAGTCACATCTTCACCGTTATGTAATCTTTCTAATTCGTAACACATATGCTTAAATAGTAATCGATCTTTTTGTGGATCAACTTCTAATCTTCCTTTTAGTAACCTCAAAATAAATTTAACTCTCCTCACTGGAATCACCCCTCTCTGTTGAATGTCGACAACGTTCCAAGTGTTTTGGAAATTTCTTATATCAGCGTACGATAACAAAGCATCCTCTTCGTTCGAATAAAACAAGGAAAAATTTTCCATAATAATAGCTACTAATAAATTTAACACGATATAAGTAATAATCACATAAAATGTGCAGAAATAAATTAACGATCCTGTGAAGTTTCCACAATCGGTTTGCCAATAATTGTCAGCTGGGGTGCAATAAGGCGGCTGAATCATGCAATCGTGCATGATTTTGTTCCAATCTTCACCGGTGACGATTCGAAATAACATTGCAACTCCAGTTACTGGTGACTCGAAGTTTGCACGTCTTCCAATCCCTTCCCCATATTTAACAGTGCCAAAAATAATCGTTCCAGCGAGGGCGTAAAAAAATACTAAGAGGAACATTCCGAATATGATGAAGAAGCTTTTACATACAGAAACTCCTACGGTTAACATTAACATTTTTAATGTTGCGTGTTTTCCGGTTATTGTAAAGAAACGGAGAATTACAACCATAAAACCAATAAAGTATGATAAATCACTCTAAAAAGAAAAAATATATAATGTTAATTAAGCTCTTTGAGGTTATGTCTCATATTTTGTTTAAAAAATCTCGAAGACTGATATTTTTTTTTTATCTTAAGCTGATTTTGAAACTGTTTTTCAGTTTTTCTCCATCACGTCCAGTTTTCGAGTTATCCCCAAAAATGTGGAAAATTGTAAATTGAAAAACATAGTAACGGTTCATGTTCAGTATATTTTTTATTTTGCATAGTGTGCTTCTGTAGTTATATGGACATAAAAGTAGAGATCCGGACGAACATTTTGAGGTGTTGATGATATTAATCGGATCTTCCGTTATTGTGATATAACCTAAAACAACTCAACAAAATCAGTTTTTTTGGCATTTTCCAAGAGCAACAGTGAATTCTCTCTGAACCAGAGATATAATCTACTTAATAGAAATAAAGATAAAGTAGGAGGTCTAACGCAATCTCTGTTGACCAGTTGTATCAGTAAACATAGTAATAATGAAAGCTCAATAAAAGCAGGTAATAAACCTAATGAAAGCACACCTAACAAACTTAATTTCAATAAAATCAAGCACATACCCGGTATAATCAATAAAGTAACATCAAGTTTTAGAAAACATGAGTTTACAGAATTGAAATTCGCTCCTTACAAGGACAATAAAATTGAAAACTTGCTCTCCAATATGAAAGATAAAATAAAGATAATGGATAAAATAAGGTCCGTACAGCTACACCCCCCATTCAAGATATCGGATAGTGCCGTAATTATGTACTAATTTTGTACTACATTAAAAAAATGTGTGCTAATCATTTAGTATTTTTTTTATACATATCAAAGTGGGGGTGTAGCAGAACGTTCAGTTACACCCCTCTTTTAAGATATCAGCATTTTGATGGTACCATCGTTTTGTGCTATTTATGTACTAATTTTGTACGTCATTAAAAATTTTTGTACTAATCATTTAGTATATTTTTTATACATATTAAAGTGGGGGGTGTAGCTGGACGTCCACTTACACCCCCCTTTTAAGATATCAGCATTTTGATAGTGCCATAATTTAGTGCTATTTATGTACTAATTTTGTACTATGTTAAAATTTTTGGTACTAATCATTTAGTATTTTTTTTATACAGTTGTCCCAACTTTTTGGTACCCCCTTTTTTCTCTTAAACTATAACTACCTTAGATTTGATATTTGGCACATTGATACAGGACAAAAAGGTTTACTTTATGAAATTAGTGTTGTTACTATATCTCTTCCGGCTAGACCGGAAGTGGATGACATAAATTAATGAAATTATATTCGTTATAAAATCAATTAGAAAGGATCACAGTATAAAATATTCGGAATTTACAGTTACATTTACAATTCTAGTTATACTAGCGACACCTATTGGCAAGACTGAAAATAAAAAACTTTAGTTATGGGAATCCCTAAATTATTTCGATTTCGAATTTAAAATATCAGCATTTTGATAGTGCCATAATTTTGTGCTATTTATGTACTAATTTTGTACATTAAAACTTTTGGTACTAATCATTTAGTGTTTATTTTATATACAGGGNCTTTTTGGTACCCCCTTTTTTCTCTTAAACTATAACTACCTTAGATTTGATATTTGGCACATTGATACAGGACAAAAAGGTTTACTTTATGAAATTAGTGTTGTTACTATATCTCTTCCGGCTAGACCGGAAGTGGATGACATAAATTAATGAAATTATATTCGTTATAAAATCAATTAGAAAGGATCACAGTATAAAATATTCGGAATTTACAATTGTCGACAATTCTAGTTATACTAGCGACACCTATTGGCAAGACTGAAAATAAAAAACTTTAGTTATGGGAATCCCTAAATTATTTCGATTTCGAATTTAAAATATCAGCATTTTGATAGTGCCATAATTTTGTGCTATTTATGTACTAATTTTGTACATTAAAACTTTTGGTACTAATCATTTAGTGTTTATTTTATATACAGGGTGGTTCAGTTTTTAATCGGGAAACTTTACTAGGATGTACATAGTACTTCCCAAAATAACACAAGTTTTTTTTATATAAACATAGGGTCGCAACTCTTTTGTCTTCGAGCTACGAGTTGTCAAAGTTGAGTCAAAAATTTAAGTTAACCGTAGAATTTGAAATTTTGTATGTATGTACTACAGGTTAATACCTTATTTTCAACCATATCTTAAACTTCCCTAGCGCCCTCTAAGGGGATGAAGTTTGCCACCCCCTTGATTTTTTTTATAAGAACTTTTTAACGCTGTGGAATATTAACGTAAAAAAATATGGATTGTAAAGCACATTCTTTAGTAGTACTTTTTTGCCTCTTTAGTATTTTCCTTAAAGGTAATATTTTCCCTGTAAAACAAATAAAATATCGTGCCATGTACCGCTATGTGCCGCCATGTTTAGCTAAAATTACTCTAAAAGTTGGCTCTGAGAACTTGTAAGTTTCATTTACGGTGAATCCTCATGATTGTTGATGATTATCAATAATTTTTGACTGTTATTGTTATTAAGCAAGAGCATCCATTTTTTAAAATTGTTTAAAACAACGTAATTTGTTCGGACAGACATTCATCTCATTTATGGTTTTTCTTATAAAAATCATAATTAATTGGTGTTATTTAGTTAGTAATAGATCCTAGTAAGTGCATAACTTCCATAGCCAGCTATAACGAAAAAATTTTGTTTGATTATAGCAACGCTTTACAGTGCAATGTAAGATATTTTATTTTTTTACGCTAAAACTATTATCTTTAAGGAATAAACTAAAGAGAGAGAAAAGTACCAATAATGAATAAGCTTTACAACCCATATTTTTTTATGTTAATAATCCATAGTGTTAAAAAGTTATTATAAAAAAATTAAAGGGTTTGTGAATTTTATCCCTTTAGGGGGCGCTAGAGAAGTTTAAGGTATGGTTGAAAATAAGGTATTAACCAGTAGTATAACATACAAAATTTCAAATTCTACAGTTAACTTATACCTGAAATAAAAGATAAAATGTACATTTTTGACTAAACTTTGACAGCTCATAGCTCGAAAACAAAAGAGTTGCGACCCTATGTTTATATAAAAAGCTTGTATTATTTTGGTAAGTACTACATCCTAGTAAAACTTCCCGATTAAAAACTGAACCACCCTGTATACAGAAACTCAACGTCAAGCGGGCACCGGGTGAGAGGCCAACCCATACCTGTTCTGGCAAAAATAAGAAAAAAATTCTATGTCTCTTAGTTAAGTGGTAATAAACATATTTTTGAAAATGTTAAAAATCGTTCCCGTACATCATATCTTTAAGTACTCTATGGTCAGAAATGTTCGCAATTTAATAGTGATTTTTTTAATAATGTATTCCTAATGAACCATGCTACTATAGCAGTCACAAATCGAACAACAAAAGTCGTTAGTTTTGCAAAAAAAAGTATTAGTTTGATTGAGTTAAGGTTGAAAGAATTAATTAAGTTTGACACACGATTTCTAAACAAAGGACTAGTACAACACCCTTGGCAAGTTGTTTTAAAAGATGGCCTGTTTAGTCAAGATTCCAAAATGGTATAACATTTACAATTTTTCTTTTCCTAAAAAATATTATTGCCTGTTTTTCTGCCAAAAACGCGTTATTTAAAAAATTCATACTTTCGTATGTTATTTGTATTTCCTCCAAAATGATTTAACAACTTTGTTAGAAGATGTGCCACTCAATATCTACAGAGAAATGTGGTTTCAACAAGATGGTTGCCCAGCTCATTATGCTTGTCCTGTACGGGATTGCATACAGAATACCCAGAAAGATGGATTGGGCGTCGTGGTTCGATTACGTAGCCTCCTCATTCTTTGGGTCTAAATCCCCTTGATTTTCTTATTAGGATTGCATAAAAGAAACAGTGTATTAAAAACCAATTGAAAATCTTGCCGAACTGCGCCACAATATTTATACAGCAGCAGAAGAAATAAATGCAAAGAGATTTGCACAACTAGTAAAAAGATCTTTTCTGTGACCATGCAGAGCTTGTATTAGTGCCGACTAACTCCAGTTTTTGTCAATATCGAGTTAATGCTTTTTTCAACGTATCAGAAGCGTAAACTATATAATAGTAAAGGATGTTACGTCCACTGTTACTGGTTCCTAAGATACTATTTTTAGAAGAAGTTGCATTGGAAATTGTCGTAGAGGTAAAAAGTCGTATCTCCAACGAACGGTTACGCGCAGTTAAATATTCAGCTAACCTAAAGTAGTAAACAATCGCATCTTTATCCTGTTGTTCTATTACTGAAATAGTGCCACCACAAAGTGCTATTAAGAGGTAGACAATTAGGTAGACAATCAAAAGTGACAGATNATTATAAAAAATATGTTTTAATTTTTATATTATAAATTAATACTTGCTTTTTTTTGTAAAATCATTTAAGTATAAGTAAATTTATATTCTTTACTACATTTCTGTTTTATTTTGTTGAATTTAAAATAAAATAAAAAAGAAGTGCGTCCCTGGACCTAGTTCCCTAGGAGGACCTATCATAAATCATGTCCAGGTACTTTTTTCGGATGATAATTACTGCCACTACTGTTTCTGAGGGTCATAAAAACCATCAGAAATATCGGAGACTATAGTATAACATACAAAATTTCAAATTCTACGGTTAACTTATACCCGAAATAAAAGATAAAATGTACATTTTTGACTCAACTTTGACAGCTCATAGCTCGAAAACAAAAGAGTTGCGACCCTATGTTTATATAAAAAGCTTGTGTTATTTTGGTAAGTACTACATCCTAGTAAAACTTCCCGATTAAAAACTGAACCACCCTGTATATAAAATAAACACTAAATGATTTAAATTTATGTACAAAATTAGTACATAAATAGCACTAAATTATGGCACTATCAAAATGCTGATATCTTAAAAGGGGGGTGGACGTCCACCTACACCCGCCACTTTAATATGTATAAAAAATATACTAAATGATTAGTACAAAAATTTTTAATGTCGT